AGAAAAAATTTATATTTAGGAAAAAATGATGCGTAAAAAAATATAATATTTTACTTCATTTTTGAAATTTTTTAAAATTCATCGTATATTTTTACACTATGGAACGATAAAAAAATTTATGGATAATATGTACTTATATTATATTTATAGGTTATATAGACATGAATCTAACCTATAATGATTTCAAATTTTCAATAGCCTTCCAAGACATTTAATTAATATAATGAAAGATAGCGAACTGACTGTTAAGTAAATTGTGATCAAATTACAGAGAACAGAAAAAAAAAAAATAAGTGGCGGTATCCTCAGTTTTCAAGACACGTGGTAGTCATGGACACCCCTCATGGTGTCTATGGGTGTTACACAGAAGCCAGGCCTTTTGAACATTGACCATATGGTGCACCTATGCCAGGGCCATGATTTATACGCACCCGACCTCATAGGTACGCAACCATAAGATTTTATTAATTAATGCTATCACGAGAGCGTTTTATCTAATTTAAAAAAAAAAAAAAAGAACGAATCGAAAAAAGAATTTTACATTATTATTATTATTATTATTATATGATAATTTTTACTTTATATATATATGGCTCATTTAAAATAATAATTTTATTCTTTATTAAAAAAATTTATTCGTGTCATTTAATATAAATATTAATAAAACAATATGTAATAATGCTGATCATATTTAATCACATTTCGAAATACCGATTTCTTCGTGGCAAAGCGACAAATAAAATGAAATCGAAATAACGAACGAAACATTGATGAATTATGAAGGATACTCAAGCCAAACACACGATACTTTTTCCACTGATAAGTTATAGATTTGTTCACGAGACAACCAGAAATGCGATTATCTACGGTGACATTTCGTGCATCGCGATGACATATATTCGAATTATATCGGAACTAGTAATATTCCGTATGGTACAAAAATAATTAATTGATTTATCAGACGTGTCACTAGATTTTTTCCATCTATTCCAAATATCTATATGCATTTTAATATCGTTATAAATATAAATTGAAAAAAATAATAAAATAACGTGATTAAAATATAAAAAATGATACATAACCTTCAAAAAGTACGATTAAAAAGATTCATATTTAGATGAATTTACGACATTGAAAGGAATAAAAGAAAATTAAATATCGTGCAAAAGACAAATTGATTGAAAAATTGAAAATGTTTGTATTGAAAGGAAACAAAAGAAAAGAAAAATCTTATTCTAGAAACTAACAAACACGCACGACTTCGCAAATAATTTCAACTTTACTCTACGAATACGAATTTGAACGAGTTTAGCCGAAATTGAACGAATCAAGAGAAGATTCTAATTAGAATTCTTAATTAAGCGCGCGCAAATTCGAATAAATATATATGAATAATATACAAATAAATAATGAAAAAATAAACTATTTCTATATTTTTAAGTTAATCGATACTCGTCATGTTTACGCATGTGTACGTGAAAATTTATTGCTCGAAATCGTTCGTTCCATCCCTTGTTTTAATAAAAAAGTTGAAGAACATATGGCGAGCCTTAATTGTCATCAAAGTTGGATGATCCTAACCAGCGGTTTCGTTTCGTCATCGAAAATCGGTTCATTTTCGACGTGAAATCTCTCAATTATCTGATAATACACCTTACATGCTGCCCTTATGTGATCAGGATTATACGCACTATGCGTCAGATGACCAGATGTCGTCTTTTAAGCTAATATGGCGACACGCAATCTTCCGCTTTTAAATGATATATTTGGGTTTCAGAAATTGCGTATAATTATCCCAAAGATCAGATTATCGAAAAATACTTAATTATTAATTTCTAAGAAGATTTTTTTTTTTCTTTTTTAGCCGAGAATCGAAATACCTCGAATTCGAAAATTCATTTTCGACTTTGAAAACTTTCAACTGTGTTATTAAAAAATTCCATAAAGGTAAAAAGGTGTAATGAAAAAGGCAAATGGATGTATCACGCGAGTAAGAAAGTTTGGATAAAAATTGCCCGATATTAACATTTATAGAGGATATTAAGTGATACGAGGAGATGATGCCGCTGAAACGGCAGCATGCTGTATTTTAAACGGACAATTTTACGAGTCCTTGGTCACTGTAGTGATTTCATCCCCTCCTGAATGGCGGAAGGGCGCTAACTACCCTTATATCTACTTGCGACAGGAGGGACGCGTGTTCTCTCTCTCCCCCAGGCCTAAACGCATCTTGAACGCCTCAACAGGTCCATGAATAAGTTACGGGGCGAAGTGTCGAAGACGTAATAGATTTCGAGTTCCCTGCACTTTTAAAGGGGCTTTTCTTCGAAATTGAGTAGAACGTGCGGGCTGATTTACTTTCAACCCGGGAGAGAAAAATCGCTATTTGATTTCCCATCTTTCAGTTTCAGAAGCATATTTTAATAAATTTCATAGATTTTTTGGGACTGTAGTGTGTATTTCAACGTAAAAAATGATTAAGTACGTATAATTCCATTTCTATCTCGATAAATTACAATATTAATTATTTTGTCAAAAAAATATTTTCTCGAAAATATTTCCAATGCTAATATCGTTAACATTTTTTTTTTTGATTTTTAATCGTAAAAAAAAAAAAGGAGGAATGATTTTTTTTATCAAAAGTTTTTATCACTCGATATTATGAAAAAAGTTGCGGGATAAAAGTAAATCACAGGCCGCTGCTAACACGGCAATTCTAAAATAAAAATTAAATTGAACGTTGTAGTAAGATCGAAGGAGGAGGGATGCGCGGAAGAGGCAAGTGGCTGCAATGAATTTGCATTGAAAGTGGCTCTTAAACGATTTCTCCCACCCAACTGATCCACCCTCGGCTCTGTCTTCGATACCACGTTAACCTCTAAGCAGATTGCAAGGCAAATTTCTTACAAATTTCGTATTAAATCGTTCGATAGATTCATTTTGTGTCGCACAATCGTACCCGATTTATCAATGAAATTTTCTTCACCATTTGGCTCATTATTTTTCAGCCATTGATTAAGTTTTATTTAGATGTAGACAGGTAAAGAAATTTATACAACTTCTTATACGCGAAACGATTATATACGGATACTATAATTATTCTAACCTCTCTTTTAATCACATACGTTTTTCTTTATAACGTATACCAAATAAAATTTATTATTTCAGGTTTATTTTCGAGAATTCGATGCTTATCAGGATTGACCTGGCATGACGAGGCATGCGTCGCCACAATAATTACCGGGAGATGCGTGTCTTTACGCATATTCTAACCTCTCTTTTAATCACATACGTTTTTTTTATAACGTATACCAATAAAATTTATTATTGTTTCAGGTTTATTTTCGAGAATTCGATGCTTATCAGGATTGATCGCATACCTGGCATGACGAGGCATGCGTCGCCACAATAATTACCGAGGGATGCGTGTCTTTACGCATAGGGCCCACGTGGAGGGGTTGCGTGGACGGTGGCACACGCAACTTACGGCTCCAACTATGATTCACCTGAGCCATCGTGTTACTATAGTTACATATTTGGTAGTTACTGATGAGAAATTTTCGTTTCACCATTTTTTGCGCTGAAAAAGTATAGAAATTGGTGAGAATCTAAAGGGTCAGAATCAGAAAGAATATGCATTGCTTGAAATATTGACAATGTTCTAGGTTGATTGTCCATAATTCTTTATTTTTTCTTTATGAGAATTTAATAAAGTTAGAGCTAATGTTTTTTTTTAAGATGTTACACGATTATAAATGTTCTGGATATTCATGTGAATTTAGATTTTTATAAACACAACTAGTGGAGATAGAAATAGAATTAAAATAAAGAAAGATATGTTTTATTCTTTAAATATAATATATCATTTTGCTTACACTTTATATCATTTTACATACTTTTTATGCATTTAAACATTTTTAAACAAATATAATAAACATCACTTACTGGAAAATCATTAATATTATCAATCTGAAATAATTAAAAGAATCTCTCAGTCACTTTTCTATCACACGTATAATTTGCTTTGGATATTTCACATCATTCTACATTTAAATTTTCAAATATATAAACATCAGTTTACTGAAAATTGTATCATCAGTGTAAAAGAATTTGAAAAAAAATTTCTCAGTCACACATGTAAAATGTTAAAAAAAAAAAAATCGGTTAAGACAGCAGGCCTTAAATAGTACGGTGTCAATAATTCACGTGACCCTGAAGAAGGAAAGGGAGTAGTCGGATGCAACGAGCGAATCAAGGCTTGCTCGCTTGTGGAACTATTTCAAAGCACCGTGTGTCATTGCGTGCACGCAATATTTAGCCGTACCCCCTACAGTCGGATGTCGGCGTCGAGTGAGTCAGTGCGACGACGTCAACGACATCCACGACGACAACGTCTAGACGCCATCACCCCACCGTCATCGTCACTGATTTGTCCGCTGTCCTCCTGTTCTTGTTACCTCGTAAAATGGGTGAAGTCATTCTCGAAATCTGATTCAGTGTGTCTTACACAGGAATGATTGTTTATTCGTCACCACTTAATTTAAAATAAAGATTTAAACGGAATATTTATCGAAAAAACTGTGAAAATAATCAGATAATAATCAGAATAGTGATGAATCTTCTTACCTTCTGTTTCATTTGTTTAAAAATTAAAAATTTTCAAATCAGAAGACTTACCTTGAACTATCTCTCACAAACAAAAAAAAAAGAATAATTTTCTTGTCTTCTTTATGTAGATATCTTTCATTTGTCTAAAAATTTAAGATTTAAAATCTATATAACCAAAATAACAAATTTTTCAAATATCTAAATCTTTTCCTAAATATTTGTAAATAAAAGTAAAAGATCTTTAATCTCTAATATATATTCTTTTACGTTGAAAAGAAGTATGGAAAAAAGAAAAAATTAAGCAAGTTAAGCATTAAGATAAAAATTTTTGGTTTTTGGAAAAAATAATATTCTGATAGTAAAGTATATTTAGGGAAAGATTGACTTTTTGAGGTAAAATGGGGAGGAGAGGAGGCAATATTTTACAAAAGAATTCTATAATTGGATTCTTAATCTTGTTTACGGTGAAGAGATCAAGTGGTCTTTGTCAGGGTCGCGTATACACGATGTGCGTGCGTGTGCCAAGGGACACATTCCTGCACGGGTGGCGTCAACCGAAATAGATTTGCCATAATAGACACTCGAGCGCACTCGTTCCGTTTCTGGGACATCGGGAGGAAAAACGGGCTTGATGAGGCCGTATCTCAGCCTCTGCCACCTTTATTCGCCCTTTCGAGCTTTCGTTGAAAGTAATTGCTCGTGTGAATCGTTGAAATATCTCCGGGTATATTTTAAACTGGCCGATGGAATGTCTTCGAGAATTCGCGAGGATGGCACAGGATGGATACAGAAACCGTTTACAAGTACTCGAGATATTTAACCAATCTGTAAATTAAATGATTTAAGTACGTATTTATTATTTACACAAGCTATTTGATGCAACTCGGTCTAACAATATCTTTTAGACTCACATTGTAAATAGTTAGGTTAGGTTGTTAATTGGGTTGAGCGTTTAAATGCAATTGAATCTAACGATATCTCTTAAATTATGAAAGATGGAACAAAATTAAACAGTTAAATTAGATTAAGTGTAAAATCGTCTCTATCTTTTTCTTTTTTTTTTACGAACTATATTATGTTTCTTTATATGTCAATCGACACGTTTCCTTTCTATAAAAAACGAATAACTATATATTTCTGTTACACGAAATTTATCAAAGTATTTAAAAATTATAGTGACAGTTTAGAAAATGAAATTACAACTCGCCCCATATTTCAGAATCCAACAGCTGTTTCTATATGGAATAGATCGTGCGAAGCTATAATGCGTGGGAATATCAAAATTTGTCTTGAACGCGCCATTGAAAGAGCCTTTCGAACGATGTGACCGTTACTTCGAATTCCAACCGGAGTTTCGACCAAACTGGGGATATTACCGTAATTAACGCATCGATGTTCACTTAGGGACCCCCAGTAAACAGTCAGTTGTGCTCACGTGGGAACTTCACATTCGAACGCATTCCTTCCACAATTTTCAATACCTATATATAGAAAGACTTCAGATTTTATTATCAATAATTTCCAAATTTATCTTTTCCAGAATTTTCACGGAGGGTAACATTGATTTCAAAGTTTAAATTTGATATAAATAATTCGAAACAGTAGGAATTTATAAACGAAGTTTATTATCTTCTTCTGAGTTTCGACTTTTTGAGACGTCCTATACGATGGTGCTGTATCACACGAAGTCATTTGAGTTTACTTCACTTCATACTTTTTTTTATCTTCAACTATTTCAAAACTGTAATTCTATTCTACAATTGCATGGCACACATCTGATATAACCTATGTATAACCCTTTGGCCACGGTAGAACTGGCTACCGGTAAGGCTATCGTGGAACGAGATTCCGTGTCATAACCTACTATGTTTAATAAAAAAGAAATCACATTGATAATTAAATATCATATCGCTATTTAATTTTAATCGCGTCATCGATTACTACAGTTTTACCAATTTTCACTTAATATATTAATATATTATATATATATATATATTATTTATTTTATTGATAATTATTATTATAATATTATGAGCAATATGTTGTTGATACAACAAATAAACTACTAAAATTTTTTTACTTTTTTAAAAATTTTGTGCCTGCTAATATCGATATACGATTATAATCAGCATTAAAGACAATTGGATTACTTAATAATTTTTGTAAAAATTAAAATATTTAAAAAAAAATATTTAGAAAAAAAAATCGTGTGTATCTCGTTGTTAGTGAAAATGGTAGGTTGGAACCCTTCGAAATACAATAGTTGACGGTTGATCGGTGATTCATACTAATGACGAGTGTGGCGTTCATCGATTGAATTTGTAACGCTTGCCGGTACGCACCTGCGCTCGTTACGAGCCTTCCTTTCACGCAGGTAAAGGTGTTTCTTTATAATTTCCAACCGGTGGCCAATAATCGATCAAACATTGATTGAAATTCTAAACGATCTTTATTATTTTCGAGACACGTGCCATCATCCTACCAGAGAAATTAAATTAATCAGTCAAAATTTCTACGAAATTATTATGAAGTTTCTAATTAAAAGATAAAATATAGAAAATATTTAAAATTAAAAATATTAATGAAATTTTAAATATTGGTGAAATTTTAAATGTTACAACATATTTTGAAAATCGAAAAAATATTAGATTGGAAGTTTTAATTAAGAAAAAGTACTGATCGATTCTTAAAAGTACCATTAAAAAGAAAAAGAGTGTCCTAAATTTAATTTTAAATCAATCAAAGGAAAAGTTAAGAAAGTTATTTAATTAAATTCTTATGAAATTTATGCAAGCTTCTTAATTTTACTTAAAATATGGAACTTCAAATATTTTAACATATCTTGAAAAAATGTATTGGAGGTTTTAACTAATCAATTCCCAAAAGCACCATTAAAAATGACAAAAGAAGGTGTCCCACACCTAATTCTAAAGCAATCGAAGGAAAAGCTGTTTAGCGATGTTGAATACAGTAAAGCGAAGTTTATGTGTGCCTATAGACGAACGATCTCGCACCAGCAGTTACTTCGAATAACTTCGTTACTTCGAAGAGAGTAGAGGTCGCGTCAGTTCCGTTTAACCCTATTAACGCGCGTACGCCGCGCTTATTTGCTGGATATTTGCTCGACTGTGCCCCCACCACCTTCCCACTTCCGCCTCGCGCACACCGTTCCATCGTAGATCATGCATCTACTCGACCCGTGGTGTATGTGTTAATTGCTTGTATTCACGTACAATCCGAAAGGGTTGGCGGGCGCACTTCTGAATAGTGTGGCTAAATACACCGTCGTAATTCGTTTAAATGGAAACAGCAAGTGCCATGCGACTAGCAGGCGAAGAAAAGTGGGCAAAGTTGTGCTCGTTCGCTGTCTACGCGAATTTTCCCGGTTAATTGGCCGGGCATCGGTGGAATAGGGATTGACGAGGCGACTCCGCTCGAAAGAAATCAAATTCTCAGAGCTCTGGTAGCTTGTAACTTTCGTCCTTTTTTAAAATCCTTTTCCTGGCGAAAGATAGATACGATTACAAAATAGAAGTAATCGCTTCGTTGTTCAAATATCTTTCTTGTTATAATAAGTAAAATAAGAAGGAAAAATAGTGAAAAATTTATCTTTGAACGTTCTAGATTTTTAATGACGAAAAATAATTTCTGTGAAGTTTATCGTTAACATGCTATAAAAGTCACGTGCACATGTCATGTATATATAACATGTATTTCTTTAGGATAAATGATTGTCATAGACAGTGACAAATTATTGTTAGTTTGATATTACAACACATTGTTTTTTTAGGTTAGCTTAGATAATTTTAAATGATTGACATCCAAACAACGATAAATTACTATTAGTATTATAACACGTTGTTTTTGATTAGGTTAGATTAGGTTATTTTAAAATTTCTCGATTGACAAAAATTGTAGGATAAATTTAGATATACAACTCTGTATTGTTTTCCACATTTTACACATTTATTATTATCTTTTATATGTGACACATATGTTACAATTCTTATAAAAGCGTAATATCTTATTCATTTTCATTATAGAGATACTTCTAGATATATATTATAAACAATAACAATTATCACCAGTCTATCAATTATCAATTGTTTTTGATTGAAATTAAACTATTTTAAAAATTTTCTTCCGAATAATAAAAATTACAGTTATATATTATATCATTAGACAATGAATTCTGATAAAAAGGTTAAATACATTACTGTAAAAGTTTTATTCGAAATTACGAGAATAAACAAATCGAAAGAGACAATCGATGCAAATATTTGGACATATGGAATATCGTAACGGATGTTCTATTAGTTTTATTCAACGACTAGTTATCATCCACCATTCCCAATAAAGATAGCGCGTGAAAGGAGACACAGACGACCCCATTAAGAGATATTTCGCTAGCAAATTGTAGGTTTGCCATTCATAAGATAGAGATCGGGGGATCTGGATTCTTTATTCCAGATTTTTCTTTTAGACTTTCCATTGACATCGGGGCTCGGAGGCGTAACAATGGCATGGCGACGACGCGACCGACTAAATTTTAATGAGCGCGTGCCACTGACAGAAGTACACCACCATTATGCGTGCATGCCCCCTCGTTGCTGTAAACGATGCACAGAATAATGCTAACGTGCACGTGGTCATTTTTCTCTTAATACAGCGTTCATGACTATTTTCATCTTTGCACAATGTCGTGTAAGTAGTAATATAAAGATGAGGAAAAATAATGGAGGATACGATTTACAAAGATGGATTCCATTTTGATTAATAAAAAATATAAACTAACAAAATTTTGTTGCTCTTTTTATGATAAAAGATTCTAGATTGCTAAAAAAAGAATATAAAAAACAGCTAAACTTACTTAAAAGTAAAAAAAAAAAAACTTGAAATTAATTAGAATAACGAGTTCACACACGACTCGAATTAAAAAATCTTTCCATTATCCTCAATCAGAGATGAACAAAATTTTTAACAATTTTTAAGCTCGAGAATAAAATTACTTCAATAATTTATCATTAAACTATAATCTTATCATTAACTCTTCATCGACCGAGATTAATTATAATAGCTACTAACTATAATAAATGTTATTCAAATATAAAATATAAAATATATTCGAAATTTTAAGTAATTAATTTTTCTCGACACTACGTCGTTCACTCACCCAGCGGAATCCTCTCGAAATTAAACAGTTCAGGATCGTTTAATACCATAGCCGATAAAATGGCGGGAGATCAAGCCAATTAAAAATGCGCAAGGGCAGGCCGAAAGAGCTCGTAATAAAATTAACAGAGTTGGACCCTTTTTTCAAACCAACCCCTGTTCCACAGTCCTACCGGATCAAACACGAGTTGGGAAAGACCTCGAAACGAAACGAGAATCGTTCGCTCGACCATTTTCACGATGCAAGATTGTTGTTTATAGGGTGGCGTTACCACGAACCCTTACACACCGTTAGATCCCTCCACTGTTTTTCGGTATTGCAAGGTTGCGTTTCATTGGCAGAGGTTGATCCAGTCAACAAACTATTCTGTGGCTCGGTGACGACGTGTAATGGGTTGAATCCACGCCTATGAGTCAGTTTCTGGTCACGACTGTGCATATGCGTAAGTAAGAGCGCCGTCTTGTCGCGACTTACGCACAGACCCACCTATACACGCGTGTACACGTCGCGCATGGAATATATATATATATGTATTTACCCTATCGTTCGGTTCACGAGTTATGGACGATTTAGGAACGATTCTTCGAGCCATCGTTTTCATTTTCGGAATTTAGTAAATGGATTTTGTTATTACATCGTTAATAGAAATGGGCAAAATCTTTAATTTAGCCGAAGTTAAAGAATAAAGTTGTTCGATAATTTATTATTTGAAAATTGGAATAACAGTTACGAATAAATGTCATTCGAACATTTTAAACAAAGTTATTTAAGTAATTACTTAAAAGGAAGTTTATTAGAAATTTTCAACTAGTTTACTTTTTAGTATCCAATTCTGAGGAGGGCTGTACTATAAATTATATTCTTCCAGTATAAAATGAAAGCTTTTGTTTTATTTATTGCGTTGTTACATACATTTATTTTGTGAGATATCTTCGAAGGATACAAGAAAAATCGCTGAGGCTTATTTATAGCTTTTATACGGCTGTCACGTATTCGAACTCATTCGAGACAAAAAATGCAATCAAATCCAAAATGGATGTACGTATTGAACGCGTATGAGAAATAAAAGTAAAATATATGGAAAATTCTTTTCTATCTTTCACTTTTTTTTATAGAAAAGTTTATAACGCGATTGTACGCATCAACTACCATAGAATAGGTAATCTTCATGACGCATATGTTGTATCATCGATTTCGAATATCTTAAAATGCTTGTAACATAAGAGAAATAAATCGCAACTTACATTTTTGTTCGTTCGTTAACTTTTGGCGTTTGTTTTGGCTTCTAGAAACACACTTTTAAAGAATGTTAATACACCTTGTATTTCATTGCTACATTACTAATTCTCAATGTTCGAATCGAAATGAAAAAAATT